GGGAAATAAAGCTTGCTAAGTTGATGAACTAATATCTCGAAAATTAGTTCGGTGACCTACCCTGATTTTTTGTGTACAAATTAATTTCATCATTACGCGTTCCTGAAGAAAATTTTAAAAAAATTTATCCAGTGGAAATTTTTTTACATTTTAAAACAGCATTTTCCTAAATAATTCAAGTTCTACTAGTTTTTTTTAATATCACGTATACATGTAGAGAATGTGATGATGTTTAAGAAATTTGAAAATAAAAACTAGGTCACCGACTTGGTTTTTGAGATATCTTTCAAAAACTGAGTTTTAGAGGGTCTTTTAGCACTATTATACTGTTGCCATGGCAACAGATAATGACTGACGAACCCCCTTAAAAGATTGCCCTAACATAGTGTTATGCATATGTCTAGTCATTATCCTGATGATAAGTTTGACAGTCCTGATATCTTTTACTGATTGGCACTTGCTGTTAATTGTGGAAAACCCTTTCGAGCCTCCTTAACTCTTAAATTGCATTATCTAATGATCCAGTTTATAACAATGGGTATTAGTACCTATCAACTGGCGTTCAATCACAAATGCAATGCTGCAATCGGATTGGCTATTTCTTGATAGATAGTGATTTAAGTGAGTAGCCTAACATTGTGAGGGTGTGAGGAAAAAAAGATGAATGGAATAAAACCATGAGCTTGTCTCTTTCTTACTGAGTTTTGAACGACTTGTAGATTTGTTCCATCCGTTCTAGAGGGCTTCACCGACACCACATAGAAATCGCGGGCTCCTAATCTAATTGACGCTTTCGGTTTAACTGTTCAAATTCAATCAGACTCTTTGATCCACGAATAGCGTAATTTAGTCTTGGAAAACATTAGGAAGTTTTCAGTCACGCGGTAAAGTAGTGATGTAAATTTGTCGGGACAAAAGAAACTGTTTACTTGAGCAAAGAGTTCAAACCCCGCAGGACTGATTTGGACATCGATACGGTTACCAACATGGCAGCCGTCATCTATCACGCGTGTAGCTTGCGGTCTTTTGTGTTTTTTTCTTGACAAGGACGTCTGTGGAGAAAAATCATTTTTCGACCTTTCGTTCTTCTCAGGGCTTCCCCACGCAACATTTGCACGAAGCAACAGTATCTGTAACTATAATGTACTAATTTGATTGGTTTCCCTCTAGAAATCAGAAAGCTCACCACAAACATTGAGGCTGTCCTACTAGGAGCATTAATTCCTTTGTGCCAAAGGAATTCTGGGAGACTCGAAGAAGCGGACAGAGAGGTAATTACAAATTTTGGGGGCGATGCGTCTCTACCTTGAAGTACGAAAGAATACCAAACAATGCAAACAGTCTGAATTATTTTCAAGCCACGGGGAAGAAATTTTTAAAGCTGAAGTAGTGTTACCAGGACGGTATCAATACCAGTCGCTCTCTCGCACCCCTTCTACTTGACCCTGCAAATCTGTTTTTTCTTTTTTTTTTTCTTCTCTTTTATTCACCCGTACTTGACTGTGATCAAGGTTCTTAATCAGATTTCAGTTATTGCACGTTTACTGGTCACGAGTAGACGTTAACTGCTGGCACTTCCGGTGCTGGGTCTGTTGTTACTTTGTTCTTGTAAACTAACATCCGCATTTGAACTGGACAAATGCCCAGTGAAAGAGCTATACTAAAAGCGATTTGCCTTTAAATATTTAACCCAAATTTTTTCAAAGTCTGACTTTCGCAGTTCGCTGTAAATTTTACCATCTATAACATTCATTATTCCTTTTAGTGTATTATTATCCCCTTCGTTTTCATCCACCCTCAAAAAAAGAAAAAAATTACCAGAGATTCTATTTTTTTCAAAAGGAAATTTCGTAGCTTTAAAAACGACTAAAAAACTGAAGTGACACTGCCCCTTTAACTTTTATGTCTTTTCAGGCTTTATGGTTTCCTCTTCTCGAAACTGTCATGGCCCCTCAGAGGAAATGTAAAGATACAACAAGTGCATATTTTCTTGGTAAGCACCTTATGTCGATTACAGTTTTCGTCTTGTTCATGACTAAACAGGTAGAAACAAACTGAATTGCTTCCCAGCAGCCTGGTGACCTGATTTGTAAATCGACGCATGATTTGTTATCCTATTGCGAAACAAGTTTGAATCATCATTCATTTGGGTGTGAAAAAATATCGTAAAACGAGAGAAAGAATCGTGAACGATCAATGGAAACAGAAAGGTTGTTCTTAAGAAATCTGGTCACTGAATTGATAACGAGTTAAGATTCTGTTCCTACTGTTAAGCTTTACTCTACATCTGCAGATCTTCCTGGTTAGCCTGGGTGATAAAGAAGATAGCGCGCACTTTCTTCAGGAAGTTGCTTGTCTCGCGTAGCTTGTATACGCACGCTTTGCCTCTAGTAGACAGGTGTGCTATGCATTTTTTTGAAAATGCTTCACATATTTTCTTCCTGTCTTGTTTAGTGAATATATTTTAATTCAAACGTTAAGTTGAACTTAACTTCGTTTTGTTGGACACTCAGTATTAAACCTGAAGGAAAGTAAGCGTTGAATTGCGGATGAAATTGAATCACCTTATACTCTCCATTTTTTGAAGCCTTTAAAGATCAGACCAGGCACGTCTTAAACAGCATGATGGGTTATATTTCGTTACCAGCCATTTTGCAAAAGATTATGCAGGTACATTTTTCATTGATTTAAAAAACAAATGATTAGTTGACTGGCGAGTAATATCTAGGATTCGATTGCTTTTGGTTTACTTCGCCTTGGGATTGGTGCTAATAATTCCCGCCATGCTATCAACCAATCAGCATCAAGCCGCATGTTTATGTTTCTTTTGACTTAATGTGATATTTTCATTTGTATCAAGCGTTGTTAATGATTACTTTGATTTTTAGTTTCTGACAAAAAAGTCACTTTATTTTTTTCTTATTTCTTCCCCATCTCTCGCTTTCCACATTCTGTTTATTTACTTTCCGCTCTGCTTTATGATGTTTTAGATTTCTTTTGAACCTGCCCTTTTTTTTTTTCTGGCGTTTTATAGGATCCAACATACAGTACTGGTAAATTTGGTGAAATCAAGGAACTTATTTTAGGAATGTTAGACACTTATACATATGAATCGGTGAGTGAATTGTTTCCATGGTCAACTCATTGTTATGTATATTTCTACTACAGCCACAAGGTTGTGCACTTCAAAGCCGGCAGACAACCATCAAATTCGATGAAAACCTCCAAGCTACAATACCAGACCAACCAGAGAGTTTTAAATATTCGTATTTAATAACATTTTTCCCGATGGCAATGGGGCATCGATGCTTTTCGAATCTTTCATTTTCACGTACACTTTCCTCATAACCTGGGTTGGTATATTTAACCTTTGACCGCGGTAGTTGTCGAAATACTTTCTTATGGACGTGTGGTTCTTATGAGGTGAAAAATCTCTGTGACGCGTCTCGGGAACAAGTTGCTGCAACAAATTGCCTTTTGTGACATGGGTAATGTTCACGAAGAATTGTTTGAATTCTTTTTCCTGGATGAAGCGACAATATTCTGTCGAAGTAACGAAGATCTCGAAATTTTCTCATGTCACACGAGGCGCATTATTACTGCATCTTATCGCCTAGAGTGCTCCGATCTTTAACCTTTTCTTTGTTTTTGTTGTTGTTTTGTTTTTTGTTTGTTTGTTTTTTCTTTTATCTCCAGACCCTTTTAAAAACAACCAACAAATTGCTCTCCGGGGATCTTCACTCCTCTCTCAGCCATCTCAAAAATCAAAGTAACCAAGGGATGACGCCCAAGTCCTCAAGGTGTTGTATCTGCCACAGGCTCTACACGGATGATACTGCAAATGGTCAGCGGGATGATCTTTTAATCTACAGGTAAGGAAGTTGGCTGTAGCGTTAGCCACTTATCATTAAAGTTGTACCTATTTATAAAACCCTCCGAACCTCTTAGATTGGAGCGTTCTGAAACTGAATTAACTTGAAAGAATGGCGGAACTGATGAAAAAATACCGGTATTAAAATTTTTTTCAATCAACCCTTCTTTGTAAGTTTTTATTTTAACTCTTTTTGTCTTTGTTTTTGGTAGTATGTTTGTTTTGTTATGTTTTCTTTTCTATATGATCGATCGGACAGCTCTTTATTGAAACAGGGTTGAAACATTTGTCTGACGTCTACAAACTGACTCGACTAGTTGGATATCGCACTGCTAGCGAGATCTAAATCGAAACCTCAACCTGGTTTTTTCGTCTGCTTCGGATGTCCCAGTGGGCAATTTCCCATTGATCCAGCACTGGCGGATTTTAGGCCATGTGATCGTATATTCATTATATTGAAAAGGAAAACCTTATAAACATTTACTTTCCACGCACAGAAACATACGCTTACTACAAAACTAGTTTCGTCTACAAACCTCTTCATTTGTATGTAAGTGGAGAGGTCTGTAGACGAAGCTAGGTTTGTAGTAAGCGTATGTTTATGTGCGTGGAAAGTAAATGTTTACGAGGTTTTCCTTTTCAATATAATGATGAGTAATACTCTCTTAGCTTCGGCAATCAGAATTTCGCGAAGATGATCGTATATATCCTAGGACTTATTGCCTAAAACTTACTTGCATTCTTCTCTAAACCAAGGCCGATATGATAACAATCCCTTACTGTAACCACATTGCCGGTTTATTGGTTATGAAATTTTGCTCTGAAATTTAATGGGTTTAACTAAACATGTTGTGTTACACGCTTTGACACTTTAAGATCAGTAAAGTACATACTCTTCTATTCTAAGGATCACGCCCTAAAGTCAGTTACAATTGTAGTCTTCAAGTCTTGGCAGCAGTTTTATAAGTTAAGGTTATAAGGAACTTTACCTATTCAATGAATGGGACTTCTTCAAACAAGAAACTCGCCTTTCAATTCATATATCTACTTAGTTACATTAGGTTGCGTGAGGTTTCGTTGCATTGCTTTACACTAATCAGTAACCAGCTGCCCAGGCACTCTTCCTTGGGTCAGATTTGCCTGTCAGTGTTCCATCTTTATTCCTTGCCACAACCTGGACCACTGCGTAACCACTCTTGGGCTCTACTTCATGCCCAAGTTTCTTTAGTCCTTCTTGGATTTGGGGCGGCATGGGGTAATCTTTGTCGATACGAATGTACATCGGTAGTAATTGATGATGGAGTCTGGGATCGATAACGGCTTGAGGGAGGGTTCGGTTAAACCAGAGATAATTCATTGTAACCTATGAAGCGAACCAACAACAACAAAGGAGTTAATTGTTATAAGGCAAACACAAGGAGCTGAAAAGAGAACTAATTATTATGAAGAACTGAGTTTCTGGTGTCCGTTTTTCTATTCCTTTACGACTCAATTCTCCAATTCTTCGATACCTAAACACTCGATATAGGTAATCTTACACTTTCTGGCGCATGACAAGACGCTTTTGACGCGGCGCGATCTAGCATTCTGCAGAATGCTTGTCACACAAGAATCTTGTATATAGTCTATCTTGCCAATAGGTTCTTCGTCGCTCACTTGACTGTGAAATCGAAACTTAGTCATCTGGCCGACAACTCTGTTTTTGTTTTCGTTTACCACATTCGAGAAGATGATTTCTATCTTCCATTAAGTCCTGTAATCATAATGTTCTATCTATGGTTGCCTAAATAAATGATCTCCAAGGACATGCGATAATTTCATCTGTCTTACCAAGGAAACAGCAGTTGTTATTTTCGTTCCACCAGACGCACCAAGAACCAAACGTGCCACCCCGCTTTTATCCACAAATATAGAGGGTGTCGTGGAGGACTGAGGCCTCTTCCCCGGTGCAATCATGTTTGATTCTGATGGTAAAACGCCAAACGCGTTTACTTCCCCCGGAGTCGAAAAGTCGTCCATTTCGTTGTTGTAAATGATACCAGTACGAGTCGATCGATATTTCGATCCATAACTAAAAGAACAATGAAAAATTCAATTGACCTTGCTCAGAGATTCAGAGGCACCACCAAAGTTCACGCTTTTGGAATTAAGTTTACATCTGATCAAAAGAAAAAGAAACAGAAACAGACCAAATAAAACAAGAAAAAAAAAAAACCAACAAATGAACAAACACCAAACAAACAACAGTTTGATCTAATGCAGAACGTTCGTTGCATGGTGTTATACATTTTCTATGTCACAGTTTCACGTTTCACAGCTTATATTTCACGGTTTACACCTGACATTTCATAATTCAGATGTTCCTGGACTTTTCACATTTCCGTTTCATGAGTGATATGTTAACAGCTCGGTACTCAAAAGATAAACAAAAGGTGCCAAACTGAATTGGCCCTCAGTTGCACCACCTGACTTACTACAGATTGATCGTGGTAGTTGCTGAAACAGCGTCGCCATTTTCTGCAATAACTGACAAATGCGAAGTCCCCTGATCCTTGGATTTTTGATAGAAGTCACCGTAGTAGGTGTAATTTGTGAATGTGCGGTCGTCCTGGATCTTCTGACGCAATGATTCTGCAAACGTCTCGTTTGTCATTTCCTTGAGAACCTACAATACAAGTTTTGACAGAATGATTTCCTTTTTCTCTTATGTCCTATCGCTTCTTTTAAAACCTTCATCTTCCAAGATCTACTTAGTAGTTTCCTTCCAAGCGTTTTACTTGTTCTTGTAGTTATTTGGTGGAAATTAATCTTACAGGAAGATAACGCGTTAGCAAATTAGTTTCATCACCTGTTCACGGGGTTATATAGTTATATTGTAAGGGGAGGTTACGTTTGGATTATTTGTGAGAGCTCAAGGGTTAAGTAACACCAGATAACACATTTTGAATTTTCACTTCTTTTACGAGAGGGGAAGTCCAGCATTTTTCTTACGGCTTCCTCTTACTGAAAAGTTGTACTCCCGTATTTATAAAGGCTCTGAGTGTACGGTATTTTCCGCCCATAGGACTCAAACTTCAGAGACGTATTTTAAAAGAGGTCAAAACACGAGAAGACACTCTTTGTGCAACTATAGTTCAAATATTCCTTTAGTATATTTTAATTTCATTTAATTTAATTTTAATATTTATTTTAATTTACCTAATCATTCTAAGCAACATATGGCAATCTGCGGTCTTTCCCTACACTTTGGTAGCACGGAAAGCCGTAAAAATCTTGAACAAAAGCTCATCTTTCAAACCGGCATTCTAAATCCCACAGGGATCAACGAACGCTTTTGATTCCACTAATTTATTCTTGTTTATCTCGTTGCCATGTTCCCACCAATAACGTAGCTCCATTCTCTGCCTTTAAAAGCACACACAACCCACAATTCGTCTATTCGCTCCGACGAAATGTCAGCTTTTGTAATCGTTACGGTGGCCAATTTACCATTTCAACTTTTTTGATATATCCAAATTATTCCTTTAGTATAGCCTTTTTCATTTCTAAGGGTAAAGGTGAAGACGAATACTGCACCAGGGGTCACTCACTGCGACAAAAAGAGCGTAACCTCTGAAGGAACCTAAGCTGAATTTTTAGGCTCAACCTATCCGTTTATATGATATTTTAATCCATGAAGACTACGTGCAACGGATCATAAGTAAAGAGATGCGATTTTGATTGAAATTATTGGATTACCTGTGTCACATTTGCAAAGTCCTGGTCTCCCAACAAAGCTCTGTATGCGTATGCAAACTTAAAGGCCTCTACGATCCTGTGGTACGTCAAGACCGAATTCTTTGTTCCTTCTCGATCAGACGGTTTCATTTTGTATCCTTGGGGATAAAAGATGGCAAAGTAAATTGGGTGGCTTAATTTATACAGAGGTATCAGTTGTTTCTCTGGTGAGAAAGTCTAGGTGCGGCTCATGGTAACCCGAGTTACGTTGCAAAGTATGTAACATGAGTGGCTTGCAGAAATAAATTCCTACAAAATTTAACCACCCCTTACTTCGGAAGGACACTAGCAAACAATTATCATACAAGTAGTCAAGACATGACCAAACAAACTAATGAAAAATGAACGTTGATGACGAATCTCCTTCCCCATCTACGCATGATTGACAGTTTACAATAGCGTTTGCACATTCCGAAATGCAATCTTGAAACTAGCTTTTGTGTCAAGAGATTTGTCTCTGGGTTGAAAAATTAATTCGTTTTATTTGCAACTTTTCTCATACCACGGAGGGGAAGGGGGCAAAATTGTTCCCTAAGAGCCCACCTCTCCTTAAGCAAGGTCCTCTCTGTATTGCTAACCTTTTAAAATATTCAGGATAAGACTCAGCACAGCACCGCTTCCCGGAGGAGGAGTTGAGTACCAGTTGTACTCCCCCAGCGTTCCTTTTATGGGTGTCTTAAATTTTGCTCTGTAACTCTTTAAATCGTTTAAGGTAAAAATACCGCCGCCTTCCTTGACGTCTTTTACAATTTCCTCGGCAAGTTTTCCGTTGTAAAAATCATCAGGTTTGTCACGAATTCGCTCCAGTGTTTTCGCGAGCTTGGGCATGTACAGGGTCTCGCCTAGCTTCTTTAATTCGCCGTTCTTGTTGAAGAGTAGTTCCCTTTAAGTTAAAAGCAGAAGTTTGTTAATGATATGGGGATTCGGCAAAAGGGAGAAAAAAAAATAGGACATGTCATTCAATTGAATTTTAAGTGGCACGCTCCGTGCAGACGTGTTTAGCTTTCTTTGAAGTAGAGTGGGTACGATACATCAGTCTACCCATGAGGTACAGACTCATTACCCACTATTACCAGCAGAAATATTAGATCTCTCCTTTTTTCATACAATTATTTGAAACAATCGTAGCTTGACTTGGAAAGAGTTGACACTAATCTACGCTGCCACGAAAAATTGTTAGGTGAAACCAGTTCATAAATTCAATCTTTTACACCCCAAACCTCATGCCAGGGTCTTTTTCAAGAAGAGGCTTTACAGATGACCTTACGGCTGCTTTGTAAGCAGCATAACCAAATGGAAATCCTTTTCTTGCCATATCAATGGATGGTTGTACCAGTTCCTTCCAGGAGAGTTTGCCATACTTTTTCCAGCCTTCGTAAAAACCTTTTACCTCGCCAGGCACCCCAGAGCCCGTCGGACCTATCCAGTTTGTATTATGATGTCGAAGAGAAAAAGTTGAAAGACAAATAGGATAAAAGACTCGTCGGGGAATATTTTCTTGTAATTAACCACTTTTAACTGATTTTATCTCATTATTTTACAGTTTCGCAACTACTCAATCTTCGCGATTAGAATACTGTATTATGATGAACTCAGTTGTGATCTATCTTTGTGCAGTGTCTATCCAGGGTGAATTGGGGGGATGGGTGGTGCCTCGCATGGACCTTGTGTTCCCTTCGCACTAACCCTTCCGGGTCTAGTCACACCCGGTAAAGTCGTTAAAAACAAAAACAAAACAAAAAACGATTAACATCTATAATTTCCTTTTCAATTACACTCTGTTTCCACTGGCACTCTATTTTCAGTAAAAACCCGATTTCGTGGCGAGGAGAGTGACGTTCAAGAGAGAAAAATTATCCACGAGCTTCAGAATGAAACGAGATACGTTTCGGTAGTACCTTTCGGTTGTAATAACTTCGATTTTGGATATAGTGTTTCAATGCTGAAATAAAACTCACCTTCTCTGGAACTGATAGTTCCTCCAACATACATGGATCTGTTGGCCTTCCCTGGGGCTTCTTCACGGAAATCTATCACCTCCACAGACCCATTGCTCTTATTGTACACAACCAAGAAGCCTCCACCCCCTATACCGGCCGAGTGCATGTTGTAAACCCCAATACAGAACAAGGCAGCAATGGAAGCATCCATTGCTGATCCATTTTTGTTTAGAATGTCCCGGCCTATCTCTGAGCAGGGGCCAGCGTCCGAAGCAACAACCGCATGCTTATAGGGGCCATCCGCTCCTGGTGGACCGGTGGGTGGAAGAGGGATTAGTGGATTGGTGGGGATTGGTTCTTCTACTTTGTAAGTTGTCCAGGCAATGATGAATATAAGTGCAAATAGTACCAAGAGTACAAAGGTTATTGTAATGCAAATGATGCCATTGAGTCTGAGGAAAAGGAATGAAATAATAGTGATTCTAATGATTTTCACATTTGTTTTGTTTGTTGTTGTTTTTATGATAGAACACCAAAGGGGTTATGCCACCTTTACTAGACACTGCTGGGAGATCCGCAAGGGAAGAATAACAACATCCTTAATCGGTTCGTGCTATCGGCACTAGCCCTGAAAAAAGGGTCAGGCTACTGTAGGAATAGTCTATCGTGCTCGTTACGGGATAAATTTTTTAGCAACATCCAGGAACTAACCAAAAAATTACACATTTTAAGGGGTTTAGTAATGTTAACAATTGAAATATAATAATAGTTTAAACACGAAGGTGCGCTATAAAAGAATTCTTAGGTCCCACTGGACCATTTGTCAATCGACTTTCGTGTGATGTAGAACTCTTAGAGTCACGTCAGCTTGAGCTACAGCTACTCCAAAGCAGTGAACATCGGGCGCATTCCATAAAATTGTTTTATGCCTTCGTCACAATACAAGAATTTTTGAGATTTGTATTTCCTTTCTCTGATGGAAACTGTCTTTATTTGTGGCGGTAAATTTGAGATCGAAGTAGGTGGTTCGCACGTTACTTCATACCACCATGCTGGTGGAAGTAAACAATAGATATCTCATTAGCTCCTTTTGTTCGTCCACCAGCATTTGAATTTGACCCGCACACGTCAACGGTGAGTGACAAATGAGCCTAGGTCTTTCCAGGGAAGACTTCTTTATATAGCGCGCCTTCGTGTTTAAAGGAGTTAGCTCGGAAGCCCCATGATTCCCCAATCCTCTAGGCTCCAATGATCACCTTTGCTTCTTCTAATTTCGCCTGTTAATTGTATATAATTTTCTTATTTTATTGCAGTTCCATTTTTTGAGACTTTTGTTTCATGCTAAAAGGCATTCCGCATGTTAAGATATTCCCCTATTCCACCGATCCACCGTCCCATTCCCTTAAGTTTCATGATGCCCTGATTATACCTATAAAGATATTTCCGCAAGGAAAACGTTTTTTCCTGCTGTCATCCGTAGCGCCACGAAAGGAACTGAACACATATTGTGCTAGTGGTGACAACCCAGAAATTACAAAAGGAAAGAACTCAACTGTGTATCGAGTGCGAATGTCGAAATTCTAAGATACTCCGAAAAAAAAACAATAAGTAGCACTGGGAAGCATCGGGTCAAAATTGGGTCAAGATCGGAATTCTAAAGTTACACCCACTGACTCATCTCGACAACATATATGGCTTCGCCTCCTTGAGGAGGCAGTAGTCAAAACAAAATTAGATCCTCGTTCTCAAAGGCAATCAATTGTTTTCTTTTATCAAATACCGCATTTGAATGTATGGTCACAATACGCTGTTACGAAGCAGCAACTGTTACGAACCAGCGAAAGTAACCCAACCAGTAACAAAAGGAGTCCGTCTATATTCAGAAATAGCCCAATTACAGGGTTTTTTTTTAAGCTTGGTAGTGTGATGGAACTATGTTATATATTGTAAAATCACTGGCTGCTATCAATTAAGCGACCTATTTATCTCTTCTAGTCTAAGTCTAGTTCCAGTTACGTCGACCCTTCCCCTTTATCCACACACTAGAGATCTCTCGAAGGTGAAAATAAACAGCAAGCTTCATTTACATCTATCTCGCACAAACTGTCGAGTCAGTGAACAGTGGTACATACTGTGTTACAAAACCTGACTATTCGATCGGTAGTGTAGGATTGCGAGCGATGTTGGGAAAACCGGGTGGGACATTCGTGCAAAACAAAGGCATTTCTTCTTAATCAGTAGGTTTCATTTGTTCAGCGTGGGCCGACTTTGAACGCACAGTTACACAAGGACAAACGAATCAACTTTTGTCTCAATCGGCGCCCTTTTGCGACCAATCTTTTGAATAAGTGTCTTTTATCATATTGCCATTATGAAGATTCCAGTGGAACAGTGTTTTCTAGCGTAAGAACTTCAAGTCGCTGTTACAGCTGCTAAACTCGCCTGTTTCGGTACTCACCGTCTCCGCCTCTCTGACTGATTACCTGAGAGCGATTCTTTATGCAAGCCTTCCTCCATTCGGCAGCCAGTTGATGAAAAATCTATGGCGAGACAGTGAAAGCGATAACCTCTACCTAGCAACTATTCGGGAAACAGATGTCGTTGAAACCCCAGGCGTCCCAAGCTCACGTCTCGAGGAAAAGCGAAGGATTATTTCATCAGAGTCACGCGTTGTGTAATGCGCGTTCAGTTACGCGAGCAACCACTGAGAATTTGAGTGCGTTTTTAGGAATGTGCAATGCAAACACCCAGAGGAATTCCATCAAGGCTAAGTGTTTGACTCTAAATGACTCTTAATTTATTCATTTTCTCATCTCTATATATCTTAGTTTCGTTATTTCATTCTCACTTGATAATGACGTTCTGGAAACGTCGAAACGTCGTATAATGTTTTTCAATATTTTATCGCAGATTTTTATTGTAAAATGTTTTAACAAATCTTTACTTATTCGAATTATAAGGAATAGTATAGGGAGCGAAACATGGTCCATTTAAAACACTAAATATTCCGAAATATGAACATTTTACATTTAAGATTTATAAAACTTGCTCAATCTTTGTTGAAACGACCTGTTGCGTAGTTGGCGTGAAATTAAAACAACCCCGGTAAAGAACGAAGTCAGGTTGTTATCTAGATAAAAAGGTAGACAATTCCATCATTTATGTCACTCATTCAACGGCGGGTTCAAGGTTAATTAGATAGAAAAGGGGGGTAGAAGATTGAAATACCTCGTAGTTTGCGCGCTCGCTTTTGTGAAACATTGATAACGCTGACAGGCATTGATTGAGGTAAAACACACGGGAAGGATCTAGATGACGAAAGAATATTTGTTAAGGTTTAGGTGCAACGTTTTGGAGCATCTCCGTGTTTTCCTGCCTCTTAGAGTGTTTCTAAATTCATCCTGTAACGTTAATGTTAGCCTCGGGTATCAGGAAATCTATTTTTTTCGGCAGGAAAATTTCCGACAGAATTTTATACTCAAACGTCTTCCTTTCAGTTGTTTTTGTCCTGATTTAAATCAACAGAGCAGAGACATCAGGTCAAGAGCTGTCTCAACTTAATTTTGTAGGCTCGCCATTGTTGTGTAGCGTCTCACGAAAACTGAAGGAACCTTAGTTATTCACCAGAAAACGGGACATTTTCATGTTATAAACATACTTTAGAAAATTTATTAAAGATACATACCCTCCTTCGCGCACAAAGAGCCTTACTAGGACTTATCACTCAAACGAGGAAACCGTGACGGGTCCAAGGTGGCTCTGCTTCAGTAGCTACAGTGGAACTTCGATATAAATAGTACTTCTAGACATTTCATCTTTAAGCCGACAGTGACATTCACAATATAACAAATGCTTGAATACCATCCCCTTGAACCTTTTTTTTCTTATTGTCGCGCTTGATAGAACTGCTGTTTAAAGCGCCAGAATTAGAAAAAAAGGAAAATACCTGTGCCATTAAGTGTCTTGATGTAAGTATCGAAACTAAAATTTCAACCTTCCATAGAAACGAGGAAGGATGAACTGGTGTTTGTGGTTCCAAGGGTAGAGAGGGTTGGGAAAGGATATTCTGATCGGTCAGATTCTTGCAACGAAAGAAACAATCGTCAAACTTTGCCTAAAATTACAATGATATCAATGCAATATGCTGTTATCCATCCAATAAAGTAGTAATCCTCAATTATTTGGGGTCTTTAGATGTCTGGTTATCATTTAAGTGTGGATCGAAAGGCCAGTTTTTGTCTGTTTATGACTGGTGTACTGTAGAACTTACATAACGTGATGAAATTCATCAACGTACAAGCGACTTTGAGATCGTTAAATAATAAAAATATTAAGTCATTTTTCTCTTGTCATTTCTTCAGGTGTGGACATGTATATCATACAGAATGTATGGCAGGGACCACTGGAACTGAAGGAAACTGGATCTGTATGCTCTGTAATAAAACGGGGCTTTCCCGTCTTTCTTCGTGGAAAGGCAAGAGAGTTCTGGGGAAGTCTGTGAAGCCATTGTCGCCCGAATCTGCACAGGTAAGATTCATATCTGAATTCTCCTTTTTGTCTGATATTATTCGCAGCACACAGTTGAGGAGAATTCAGGAATTATCAGATAAAAGTTACCGCTTTGTTCTGGCATGGAACCCGGACTTGAAGTTGAAGACGTAACCAGACATTTACCTTTTCAGTAAATTGGGAAATTTTGTTTGATTCGCGAAGCGAAAGCTAAGGAAAGAAAAGGCTGTGCGTATTACACTTTGTTGGCCTTATGTGATTGTGTGACTTTGAAGCTTCACAACCGAAGCATTTCCTGTGGTGTGAGTACCTCTTTTTTCCATCATCGACAAACTTCTGCTGGCTTTCCATTCGCTTTGACGAACGGATAATGCTCGAAACGTTAGCTTTTAACTCTTTACGGTAGCCAATTTACAATTTCAGCTAAGTTGATATAACCAAATTACCCTCTACCGGCTTTGTTCAACAGTATTTTGCGAAAACTTTTCAACCAAGCTTATTCAGTTTTCATCTTCCAAGCACGATGTTTTTCCACTGGTAGGCAACATTAGGTCAAAGTAATGTAACGTTTTTATGATTTCCTCTAACAGAAGTTAAAGAATGACCGTTCTGGAGCGGCAAAGAAAGAAGATTTATCTAAGGTAAAGAGGGCTTGTATTGTTGTCAAGGCATATAAACTTGTTTTAGCCACCATAGGCATGTGTGAAGAGACTGGAACTGCCAGGTGAATCTTTCAAGGAGTTACATGTACGCGTTGCCAGTTGTCACTTGTAACACCAGCTGAGAGTTCCAATTAAATAGCCCAATTCCAATTTCAAATATTTAATTTCAATTCTGTTGTGCTCAATTTTTTCTTTATATTTTTTGTTTCAAAATTAACATTTATCCATCGAATGTCTAGTTTTTTTTTTTTTTGACAGACTGAAAGAACAGCATCTTCCCTTACGCAGCAACAGTTCGAGGCAGTGTCTAGGCTGAAAGCACAAAACAAAGGTGTATCGCGGGTAATTATAGTGACTATCAATGTATTCAGATGATCTTAGATCTTAACCACCAAAAATAAGAAAGGCCTCTTTGATCATATTGGTCTGTGTCAAAAATTGAAATATGAATTCTACGATGATGGTGTGTTCAGTCGTTTAGGTTCTTTGGATGCAAAGGATATACTTTTTCCCTTTTTTTAAATTCGCTTTTGTTTCTTGTGTTTGTTTGTTTCTGACTCTTTTGACTGGTTTAGAAGGTAACGCTACTTTAGACGTTGAATTGTAGACATTTTTATTTATTCATTGTCGATCTTGATACTCAAATATCCTTAGATAAGAAGGGGGTTCGGGAATCTTTGGTAAAAATACCGTAGCACAACGCTTTAAGGGGACTGGGCATGAGCATACAGCGCTTAGAATTCCAGGATTGGCTAAGGTACAGCTTTTTTCATTGTGAGATTGGTCGATACACTCTCTGTTTCTTAAGTGAGCGGTGAAATACTCTGACGGAGTCAGTTTCAATGCATTCCATCAGAATATTTCGCGCTCACTTTAAGTTTGATCAGATTGGAAAGCTGGAGAAAATCCAGGAGAATTACCTGAAGAGAGGTTGAGAGCAAGACAGATATGGCGGCCATCAAAACCCACTCAGCGCTGAATTGTGTGTCTTATCAGTGTATACCGGCATGCATTTAGATCTCTGGGATTCTATGGGATTGCTGTAGCTATGATTGCTTTTTCATTTTTAGAAGAGGGTTCGTAAAAATAAAGCACAAAGCTGTGAGGAGAATAGGCATGAACTTCACTGCGCTTTGAATTCCACGACTAGTTGAGTTACAGCTTTGTTCATCGTGTGATGAGTTGCTACATTTTCAATAACTTTCCTAGGTGAGCGGTGTGGTATTCTGACGGAGTCAGATTCATTGCACTCGATCTGAATACTTCGCGTTCGCTTAAAGATTGATCAGATTACAAGGATGGAGGAAACCAAGTAGGAGCAGTAAATGCGTACCAAATGAGAGGTAGAGAGTAAGACAAATATGGTGGCTATCGAAATTCACCTAGCGCTAGATTGTGCGTCTCATCAACATATGCCGGCATGCATTTAGCTTTCTTGGCTTCTACAAGGAAGGGAGTAGTTATGACTGCTTTCTCCTCTTTATTTCCTTTTATTTCAGTTTGCCATTTTATCAGAGTTGTCAAGGTCAAGTGATGCTATTAGTTATGCCTATGGCAGTCGATCGACCGGCTCAAGCAATATCTTTGAAGACGAACGCTTCAGACTGCATCTTGCCCCGCCACGAGATTAGACTAAGTGCCCTTGTTAGCGAGACGCCAAGGTGGGATGAGCTGAGAAAGTTGGGTGTCATAGTTGTAGAGCCAGAATTTCACTCCCTTATTTCCCTCGGCACGTGGACTTGTCAGTTAAAAAAATGATTGTTGGCACTATGAGTTAAGTCAACATCACCACCCTCGTTGAAAACTTTATGCTGGAGAATGGTTTTCCTTTGACCTTTAGAAATTAATCGAAAATTTTATTTATCAAGCTATCCTCGATTCAAGGAGAATCCATTACTTGACTAGTAAATTCCGCGTTAAATTGCACTTTAAAACTTATACCGCACTCATCCCTTCGCGATTGGTGCGATGTGGGTTTTCGTGTGTAATATAACTCGGAACTCCCCCGTCAGGTAAGGAATTTTCCAATAAAATTTTACCTGTATCTTGCTCGCTCGACTCTATTCACTCACTCGCGTGTGAGGTATTTTAAATGAAAGTTTTATATGACGGGTACGAATCGACCAGCGATTCGGGTACGAACCGACTCGAACAAGGTACAAATCGTCTGAATTTGCGTACGCAACGACCGTGGGTACGAAACGACTGTAGTAGGTGGTTTTCACGTACGTCATTGCCGCCATGTTGGTGGACGTAGACAATAGATATCTCATTAACTCCTTTTGTTCGTCCACCAGCATTTGTTCCTTTCACTATTGTTTCCTGTGTCTCTAGAGATTGGTTGCAAACCACCTATACTCTGGATTTATGACACGAACTTGGCCTAAAGTGTCCTCTAACGCGAGCAAGGAAATTTTCAAAATTTAGATTAGCACAAGGCCTTTTTCAAACGCTTTTAAATCGATAGTTTCGAAAAGTCTTTGAAAAAACACGTCAAAAATTATATTATTATTTGTTAAGAAAAGCACTTATGCAAGTAACAAAAATATCTTTTTGTCAAATAAAATTGTTGATGCTGAAAAATATTTTGAAAATTAGAAAACACAGCGGAAAGGGAACTTTCTTCGTGGGTACACTTTTTACATAATTCACGAGAATTTCACATTGATGTTGCTTTCAAGAAGCAGATTGTATCAAATTATTTATAATAAAATGAATGCATGGTTACCTTTGATATTTGTTTGTGAGCCACTGTTTTTTCCCCCCTGATATTGTGCGAGAGCTTTGAGCGAATGATATTGTAACACTTCCTTATTGCAAGGAGAAAGGCTCGTTGCAAAAATTTCCCTCCTGATATTGTGCGAGAGCTTAGAGCGAATGATACTGTAACACTTCGTTATTGGAAGGAGATAGGCTCGTTGCAAAAATTTCGTTTTCTAGGGAGTGATAAACTAAAACATTGAAATTTGATATATCGGCAATCACAAGATACTCCTCTACTTCGTTCCTACGCATGTGAATCCTAAGAAGTGTGCCTGGAAGGGTAGCAAAGTCGAGTTATTTCAGGATTCTCATGGCTTTCGTAATGTGGAGTGAGAACCTTTGGCGAGAAGAGGTTGGAACGATGATATATGGAAGGAGATGGATTGGTAGTGCGCCGGAAGAAAAATAATGGTTTGACGGCTGCTTTCAAATCCTTGTCATTGTGAATATTATCTCTATCATTATTGTTATCATTGTAATTATGATCATTATCTCAATTATCATAATTAGAATTTATTATCATAATTATTACTGTTGCTTTCATTTAGCAAAAAACATCCTTCTTAGCTTTTGGGTAATAATATTAAATGTTAAATTTGATACCTGGAAGAATACAATTCATCGCAGTAGTTAATTCTCACGCATAGGTCGTTCGTAGTATCCTTGACACCTGCAAATAAACAGCAGGTGAACAAATATTCAAATATTCTCTCAAATTTAGCGCAGGTTTGAGCGCTTTATGATTGGCTGGCAAGAATGATATGCCGCAGGAGAATGTTCAATAATTCACAGTTAGTTTGCAAACATTTCTCGAGGAAAATACAAACGGATTGTGAGTCAAACTCAGCCATCTTCTCTTTTGCTCCCGGGTATTAGTTGGGGTGTGTGGCTGTCGTATCTAAGTGTTAATCATGGTGTGTGAAAGACCCGCCAAAGATGCGAAAATAATTTTGGTAAGATTACAAATTTCCGAGTTTTGAATTAAACACCACATAATGTTGACATGAAGTTTTTTAACTTATTGAAATTCAGAGGTAAGTTACTTTTTATGCGATCTTTTCTCCAGCTCTTGAAACTGGTGGTTTTACTCAGAGCCGGAGCCCAAGAGTACAAACAAACACCCAAAGGTAATTTTACTCTGCCGAAATTATATATAGAGAACTACAGTTTGTTGCTTTTCAGAGTCAAAGTGCGAAGACAACTGTTTGAATTAAATTTCATTTCACTTTACACCAGCAGTGTTTTTTTAAAATGTGACTACGTTTTCGTGAATCTATTGTGACTTTAAATTAACATTTTAGAGCTATTTTGCCCAAAGCTGAGGGTTGGTTGTAAGTGTTATTTACTTATCTTCTTTGAAACACTTCACATACAGTTAGTTACTCAATGCCTCGCCATGAGTTTGTTAACAGTTCAATAAATGAGGTATCGTTCTTGAGGAAGACGAACTTCCCTGGATACAGGGAAAGTACTTATAACTTGAATTATTTGCAATGTTGTGGTTAAATAATAATTTAGAAATTTTTAAACCTATCCATTTTTGGTCGCGCTGGGTACGTGCTCTATCTAGTTAATTTAAACTGTGAAAATTGAATGGAAAGCTCTTCACGCGAAAATCGAGACGACAGTTTATTTTAGTCCGTATAGCCTTCAACTAACGGTTCCAATGTTGTAATTTGATAGCGTTAAGATCAAGGAATTATAAATGAGGTTTTCCTAAATGTGGTAAAAAGATTCTTGTTAGAAATTACTAATTCATCATCTAACAATGCTGTCTTTGTTTGAGAGGTAATTTCTTATCATTGTCCTCTATGCGTCTAAAAACTGAGAACGATATTACATATTTTTGCAATTTTCCTTATCGCGTATTTGCAGAATGAATACAATGCTTTTCTGTAATCTGGACCTCACTGCTGTATTTTACCGCTCGTCTGACATAACAAAATGGTTTGAATCCTGTTTATTAACATCTGAAGTCTTTCTACGTATATTTTGCGTCTTATTATCAAGATATTTTGTTTATCTTTTTTCTGAGTTTCTGAGACTACTTGCCGTAAAACAACAATGGCTGCGATCATCATTTTTATTAAACTGATTTGTTTATTAGAATGACAGTAGCATTCCTTTAATTTTTTTGTCTTTTTGTTTCCTTCGTTAGAATGTAGAGGAGTACTTCCACTTACCGATAAGAACGGAAGCTTTACCAGTCCAGGTGGCTACAAAGGTTACCCCAACAACACTGTCTGCAGGTGAAATCTCTCGTTCAGTTTAATGAGAAAAAAAAAACGGCTCGAAACGCAACTCGCCAAGAAGCAGCTCTAAGTGTTGGTTTGTGCAACTTGTGTATAATTTTTTTAATCAAGAAAATAAACGATTTCATTTAATATTCCTTGAGAAAAGCTAATAAAATGTTAAAATACATAATCGTCAAGCTATACTCTGCCTATGAGGGATCTTTCACCCAAATCCCATGTAAGATCAACGAACAAGATGAACCTGTGAATCTGATATGTGTAAGCGTTTCCTTTTTTTTGTAATTCTTTAATTCCCAAGATCTGACGTTAAAATGTCTCAGCCAGCTGTTCGTACACATTTCCTGATTAGTTACGGGAATTTGGTGTTAAATCAAGATAACAACTTATACCCAATGGATACCGCAGGGACAAGTTACTTATTAATTATTTCTGGGAGTCAAACGGTGGAGATGAATTCTGTGACAAACCTAATTCACTGTTTACATTCAGTTGGTCTATTACAGCAGCATACGATGCCGAGATTCGAATAACCTTCCACGACTTTGACCTGGAATGGAGCAAGACGTGCATCCCGTATGATTACGTCACGGTGTCCGAAAAGTGTCTTTCCTCTAATGCCTGGTCGAGCAACCTAGGGTCTGGGGACAACGTGGATGGATTTTGTGGAAACATGACAACATTCAGTGTTGAGTCACGCTGCGAAAAAGTGTTGATAGAGTTTAAATCTGATGATTCTATAACAGGGAAAGGATTCAATGCTACCTATGAAGTTATCCCAGATCCAAGTAAGTGGGATTCCTTCACCCCCCCTCCCCCCCCCCCCGCACCTTAAGCAACCACGACGGCCACGGCAACGAGGACGTGGAAAAACAAAAGATCTAATCGGCAGAATAATAGCTCAGCTCATGCGTTTTGAAACTTTGTACATTTCTTAGCCGTCCTATGCAAAACAACAACGTGAAATCGCCAAAATTTGCGTCGTCTGCAAACCGAAAGCGCGACGGCAATTTAATTTAATTTCCATTTGGAACTCAACGCTACCTCTATACGTCATGGTGAAGTTGAGCTGTGGCCACGTAGGAGACAGTACGCTCATGCAGCCATGTTTGAAATTCTAACTAAGAGTAGAAATTCATTTTTTTAATCGAAGTCTTCCTTGGCGTTGCCGTCCTGATTGCTTAAGGTCCCTACTAACAATGTTGGGAAGTGATCTAGGGTTGAGGTAACGAGGAGGGAGGAAGGGGAAGGTGCGGGGCTTTTTCGAGTTCAAATGTTACAAATCTGTATGGCTTTTGTGTCGAGGATTTTAGGATTCTCATCTTAAAGCATTCTAGCTCAGAAATTTCCATCGATTGGAAAAGTCTTTCACGTACTCAATCAAGTATTATTCATTCATCTTATCCTAGCTTCCTTTGTTCGTTTGTTTCTTCTTTTCTTGTTTTCTTGCTCTATCTTCTCCATTTCGGTTTTTTCAATTAATTTTTGATTTATGAATTTGTTTATTTACTTTTTCAGAAAAACCTAAAATTATATCGCTTTGTCAAGATGGAACTAGTAATTGTTCACCAACAATAGTATTCACAGAATATGAGGAAGGAAACATCCCTTGCCAAGTTGCAGGATCTGTGGACCTGCAAACTTGGTCTTATCTCGGTTCTGACAACGAAAATCTCAACGGATCATTCGACGGACTTCGCATGTTCATCACCGACGAAGGAGGGCTCTTCATCCGGGAACTTAAGCGAAGTGATACAGGGTTTTATAAGTGCTTTGTGGAGAATTCTTTAGGAAATGACAGCGCTGTGATGTACCTACGTGTGAAGGGTAAATGATGCTAACGATTTGTTTTTTGCTATCAACAAAACCTTATTTCTTGAATTCCTGTAAACCCTAACCTCGCTATTGTTTTACTCGATTCATTAAAAGGTGAAGCAAAAAGTTTTGCAGCTTTTATTTTTTGATATAAAGAAAATAATTTGTAATCACCGCACTTTTAGGTCTGATTTGTTTTTTTCCTGATTATTTTTTCCTTTTTTTTTGTTTTTTAACAGAGAAATGCAACTGTCCTAAGAATATCTTTGCAAATTGGTACAACATTCCGCCATACGTCAAATATAATGGACCAGGACAGAATCCAACGGGATTATTTCCACAATTCCTCCCACAACTGTTTTCGCATTGCTGTGGAAACTGCTCGGAAGGTAACGGACCATCAGAGATCATCTATGATGCTAAATTCCAAGAAACCTTGATGGACATTAAAGATGTCATCAACCTTGGGAGCAATGATACCATCACCTTCCCTATCAGTGGGAAGAAGGATGACGACCTTTATAAAAATGAGTTTTACTTCTTGCCGCTCATAAGCTCACCAGGAGTGGCTTTTATTGTTGTCGAAGACGAGCCTGGTACGTCTGCCAAAGCTGTGTTTGACTCAGTCGTGTCTGGGTGGCCTGTTCTTGTACTCACTGTTTTGATGGCCTTGTTGTCTGGGATAGTTATGTGGGGACTGGTGAGTATTTTGTTCTGGAAAATATCGTAGTACCATGTTACGTATATGTAGACTGACTTTTGTAACCTTTTTGTTTTTCATTCTATTATAAAGGACACTTGGTACAATCCTGAAGAATTTCCGAGGTCGTTTATCAAGGGGAGTGGTGAAGGTTTCTGGTGGGCTTTTGTCACTATGACAACTGTGGGGTAAGCACCTTTTCACAATTTGTTTGAGCACCTTCTTGTGCTTCGATAGTAGGCAAAAGTTCAGTTTCCGTACAAGTTCCACATTTTTTGTGAAGCGGTGAGCAAACAAATTGTACAAACGACTAGAATTAAATGTGAACCCAAATTCTCAGAGATTAGTGGCGCATATAAATTCTCTTGGGGTGGAAAGGCACTTCGGGAATGACTATGAACAACTTTTAACTCAGTAATTGTGCCTTTGGAAAATCAACCTTGATGGAATTCACCAAAGCTTTTTACTCGTTGCTGTTTTAATTAACATTGCTTTTCTTTTTCTATTTTGCTCTGTTCCCTCTATCTCATTCCCGTTACATAATTTTTGACATTTTTTTCTCTCAGTTATGGTGATCGATCTCCGCGGGGATTTCTTGCTCGTATATTTGCGATAGTCTGGGTTCTAGTTGGCCTCGTCATCACTTCAATTTTCACCGGTGTGGTGACCACTTCTCTAACAGCGATCACATTGAGCACTGACGTCAAACTTTATGGTACCAAGGTTGGTTTTAGCTAAATCTCAAGCACACATTTCCCAAAGGCCTTTGAAGTCTTTTTCTTCGTAGAAAATTGTTAAGGCAATTGTTATTTGTTATGGGAAGCAACCAGTTTAAAAAGAAATGGCAACTCGTAGTGAATAACAATTCCGAAAAAAAAACTTTCACAAACGACACTGTGGCCACATACATTTTTCACAAGTGTTTTTGTACCTCATCCAGGAATCTTAGCCTTACGAGGAGCATTAAATAGAAAGGCAAAAATGGTTAGTCAGATTAAGAATTTGTTTCTAACATTTGTTTGTATTGTGACATGTTTCATTCTAAACAAGGCTTTGACTGAACTCGTCAGATAAGACAGCTTATTTCAAACGTGGCTTAGATCCTAAACAGTACCTTATTGTTTTCTTTGGTAGTATTGAAAATGAACATTATTTTATAGATTGAAAATGAATTTTCTTTTATAGATTGCAGCAGTGGCCAATTCTACCGAGTACAAGCTGGGTATGAGCAAAAATGCAGTTTTGAAAGGTGATTTCTTATGAATGCATCTAAACTGACTCACTAAGTATTGAAAAAATAACAGTGACGATCAGTTGATAACGATCATGATGATTCCTTTTTATCCTTTGGATCAAATTAATTCCACGTAAACGGACGTTTGCTCATTTAATAGAGAGATATTGCACCGCGTGTACGTGAAACGTGAGGGGCAAGAGTGACCACGTGACCTTGTTTTTCCCGCCATTTTTTCACGTTTGCCGGTTGCGCTTTGCCATTTCTACGTGTTTCGTTTCTGCCGTGTACGTAATATTTTCTTCACTTTTTCTCTCACAGAGTAGAATGTCATTGGCGGAAAAAGAGCACCAAAACTATTCCTTGTGAGTCATACAAGGGTGCCTATGTTACGTTATATTTTTACTTGAAACGTAAAAGGACAAGCTGACGTTTGCCGTTTTACATAAACGCGGTGCTAAATCTCTCTAATACACCATAGATGACGTCAAAATGTGGTAAGGAAAAAAAGGTGTCACTCGAGACACAGCCGAGTGAGCCATTGATGCTCCTACCACATGGTAAAGAAAAAAAGGTGTCACTCGAGGCACAGCCGAGTGAGTCATTGATGTTCCTGCCACATTTCAACGTCCTCCCCGATCTCTTATTCTCAAAACTCACAGCAACATTACATTTATTGAACAAGGGGTAAACACCATAGTGTACACTATTGAGTAATGGGTGCACGCGGGAGCTTGCTAAGCACGAAAGAAGCGAAAGAGTCGCACGAGGCGATTTCTAGCTTCTTTAGTTTCTTGCAAAACATTCGCTGACTCGGGAACATTTGCTCACGCCAGCAGCGTACACCCGTGGGCAATACTGAAGCAGACACTGAATTGACCAATTACAGCGCGCGTTTTACGTGATTTATGATATAATCGTTTATATTGTAAAAAAGCAAAATTTTGACGATCGTGACGTCATCTATTCGTCTTTCCTTTAATAGATCATGAGCAAGAACCAATCAAAATTCTTATAATTAACAATTATTCCACGAGCGCGCGTTGGATATTAGATGATAGATAGCCAACGAGGCGCGTAGCGCCGAGTTGGCTATAATCATGTCATATCCAACAAGCGCGAGTGGTATAATTGTTTTATTAAAGAAAACGCCCCCAAGACAAATCTTCTCGACTTTATTTTTAAGAAGAAACCGGATGTTACAATGTACAGAAATTAGATTATGGTATATTGGCTCATATACCATAATGGCTAAGCCAATAAAAAGTCTTGAATTGCATTATCTAATGATCCAGTTTTTAATAATTCAGATTATATAATTATTACTTTTATTGATAGAATTTAATGACCTACAATCGATTGTTGAACCTCTGAAAAATCGCGAAGACAATTTGAAGGGCGTGTTAGTAGACACATACGTGGCTGGGGAAATGCGGGAGTTTGTCAGCGATGAGTTGCGAGTCAACAAGATCATCGACGATGATTCGTACTATGGAATTGTATTTGGAGAAGGGCAGTTGACAAATATTTCGATCCAGAACTGCTTCTCTTCTTACGTGCTTTCTCATAAGGCGGAAATCTTCGAGATTGTGAAGCAAGGCACCCAACCCATGAGTGTGAGTAATGAAGCCATTCAACATAAAAGGCTAGTTAGTCTATCTCATATGAATCTAATAGAGTTGACTCGCTATATTCTTAATCTCATTCCTCTGAACGTTTTCTGTTTGAGTTGCTTTTATATGTACCTTAGTCATACTTGATAGGACCTTTTGCATAATTTTCTCCGGTAATCTCCATTAACAGTCAATTGCTACTTTTGAACGGTCATCTGATCAGATTACACGACGCAATTGAGAAGATTCGTTAACGCTTACTCAATTATTTGCATTGAGATTTAAGGTACCTAACAATTGTTTTGTAGTGTTTGATCCTGTTTGGACAAATACCTCAGCTATGAAATAATCTTTATTCTTTTGGTTAGCACACTCTTGACAGCAATCACGGGATTATCCATATATAGCATTGTATGTTATGAAGTCCATCGTAATTCTAATAGAGCAGTTGCGTTTTGTCGCAGCCACTAACATTTCAGAAATCTGTTGACCTGCGTGTAGAATAAGCCTCTCGCGTGTAGAATAAGCTTCTCGCTTGTAGAATGAGCCTTTCACGTGTAGAATGCGCCTCTCGCGTGTTAAATGAGCCTCTATGTTCCAGTTTACTACTCATCCTCTAACAATCTTCTTTTCTGTACCTCATCGACGGCCCCCTATTTCTATGTAGCTTGTTCCTGTCTAGATTGGACACAAGATACCTAAAGCCTTACTTGTCCGTTAGCGTAAACAAAAGCACCCAAATGAGTAGCTTTAATCACTACTATTAGGAGCCTGATGGGAACGAGGCTTTGGAACGATCGTCTGGTCTGTTTGATGCTACTTCTCCCTTGTTTCAACGCTCCATGTACACGTGCATTGGTCTGTTACTGCTTTTCGCGACTTGTGGGATTATCTGGGACTACGGTTACATGAGGTATTGGAAGAAGAAGGCTGAAAAGGGTACGAAAATTTGTTAAAGTTTTTCATGTCTTGATTTCTAAAGGAAGAGTATTGTCATAAAGATAATTGTCTTACTTGGCCGGATACATCTGTGAAACCTACTGTATATATAGAGACTGGCGTCTCCTGTCTCATGTGTAGTCTCAGCATTGGAAACTAAGATTTTAAAACGTAATCGTTTCTCAGCTGAAAAATGTTGTGTCAGTTGGTCATAAGAACGGAAATTTTATATCATAAAAATGGGGTTGGGCGCAGCAACACGGACATTTACTGCGCATTCAAAAGTAGAACTTTTTGTTTCTACTTGGAAGTCACACGAAAGCTCCTAAAAGTACCTTTTCGCCTGGTGGTACGACTACACGGATGAAATTAATGCGGCAATTTTGCTTTTTCGTTCAATTTTTTTATTTTTGCCGAGCCTGGGTATAACCCTTGATTTGTTGATGTATTCCTGTTAAAAAATTTCGCAAAAATTTACAGCTTTTCACCCAATTTTCTTTTTATTCAAATTCACTTGAAATATCCCGATTATTATTAATCATCTACCACTTACAGGTAGCTTAATAAGTGAGAACATTTGGGGATGTAAGGATTCTTTCCTTGTTATTGTTCTACCACTAGAGGAGAAAATTGAAACTTGCATGCGACATGGTGCAGCGTGTATCCCTTATTTCCCGCCAATTCAAATCACTTGACATTTTGCTTCGTTCTGCAGAAGAGCTCGAGCTCCTTGGTATTCCTGCCTATGAAATGGCCAAAAAGAACCTGGACATGCTGGATGCCATGATGGAAGAAGTTCAAGACTTCTACGACAACTGGGAAAAGAGAATGGACGAGATCGTGGATAAACACGAAATGCAGCTAAGGTTACAGGCAAAAATGAAGAACTTGGATGGAAATGCGACTGGGAAATCCTCTTACGAAAATGAACTTTACATGAATAGATGAATTATTACACTGTCCCATTCCTCCATTATCACTGTTTCTATGTTTTCGCATTGTTACACTTAACCTCACCCATGTAGCTGATAAATCATACTAAAAGTAAATGAAGTATTTTTAGCTTTGCGATTTACGCATGATTGCTCAGCCCATTAAACAGTAGACTGATTCCTCGGAAAAAAATAGGGATCTTAAGCAGTCAGGACGGCAGCGCCAAGGAAGACTTCGATTAAAAAAAGATTTTCTACTTTTAATTAGATTTCGAAAATGGCGACATGTGTTTAGCATTTCATACGGCGCAACAACTCAACCTCAACATTACGTATAAAAGTAGCGTTGAGTTCCAAATGGAAATTAAAATCAGAGCCGTAGCTAGCATAAGGCAAAAGGAGGCAATTGCCTCGTTTTGATTTTGGCCTTTTTTTTTTTTTTGAAGATTGACTTTTGTGAAGAAAACTGTCACAGAAAATGCTTAAAAGAGCATTACTGAGCCTCTAGATTTCGCAATTTTCTGAGGGGGCATTCCCCCAGACCCCCCAATTGGCTCGCGCCTTCGATGCTCGAAACTTGCCTCGTCTTGTTCTGAAGTCTGGCTACAGTTCTGATGTCTGGCTACAGCCCTGAAAATAATTTGCCTTCGCGGTTTCGGTTCGCAGACGACGCAAATTTTGGTGATTTCACGTTCAAGTGTTGTTTTGCAAAGGATGGCTAAGAAATGTACTAAGCTTTAGAATGCACACGCTGAGCTATTTTTCTGCCAATTATATCTTTTGTTTTTCCACGTCCTCGCTGCCGTCGCCGTCGTGGTTTGCTTAAGGTCCCTAGTAGCATGAAGAAGGTTACACGTATTCGTACACTCTCAACAGTAGTTTTAATATTTTACAATTTGTGACCGAAGAGTCGCCCAATGTTAAATAACAAAATCGTCTTGGAGTGATAAGAGCGATGTAATGGGGTGTCTAAGACTACTCATGCCCTACCGTATTCAACGACATTCTAAACCGTCAGAATTTTCTCATTGTCTACATTCTCGTTGGAAAGTAAAGATATGGACAGGTTTGAGCTTCGCAGAATGCGTCCTAAATTTTAATTTACCTTGTTTACCATATTAGGGAGTTTAAGAAAACCACGATGGCAAGAGAGACTGGAACGTCACTAAACAAAAGTTTTTTAAAACTTTTAACTCACATGCACAGCCACTGTTCGGCTGAAATGAGCAGAAACAATGGCTGTGCATGAGCGTTATCTTTCTAAATTTCTTTTAGTCCTCTGCTGCAAAGCAACAACGTGAAACGATAAAATTTTGATTTTTTTGGACAATGTGAACGACGACGGCTACTTTTTGAAATTTCTACTTCTAATTTACCGCCGTCTTCCATATTGAATTTCGATAGTGTGAGTAAAAATAAATGACTTTAGAGTATCGCGAGACTCGCTGCAAATATGTGAGTTCACTTTTTAACTGTCCACTACGTCGCCGTCGTCGTTCCTTAAGCTCTTTATTGTCCTTTCCGACAATATATATGTATCCATAATAATTCATTGTTCCTTGAAGTTTCTAACCTTTGTTCGTTGCTACTTTAAGGTTCTTGTAGGTACAATTTGAAAGCTTCTTGGTGAATAAAAGGAAATTGTTCTCTGCCATCAAGATGAAGATGATTTTTTTCTCCCATTGCCTATATACCGCTCTTACAATCATTGCGTACATATTTTTCTTATACATACATACATAATACATAGGTTTATTCAAAGCAATTGAAAACAAAGATAAATGTATAAAGAATGGTTAGACAAATGTACAAAGGGAGTTTAGAAGGTTGGCCCTATGTAAAAAACTCCCAATAGAAAAATCTTAAAAATATCCTTATATCAAGATTCTAATACTACGAAATATTTAAAAATGAACCTAAAGAACGCTTAAAACATGCAAGACTTCCCGCCCCTACAACCCACTCTGGTAAATCGTTCCATTCTTTTACAATTCTCACAAACAATGAATATTTGTAACAGTGACAACTGGATGCTTGAAACCTCAGCTTGTAATTATGATTACTTCTCGTTCGATTTGACGCTAACTGGAAAAAGTCTTGGAATTCGAGATTACCGAGAGAAAATATACATTTATAACAATCAATCAGAGAAAAATAACTTCTTCGATTCTTTAATGGTGACCACTTTAAAATGGAGCAACGTTCGTGGTAGTCCTTTTCGCCTCTCTTTTGGCCAAGAGCCAAAAGCATCTCTTGCATCTATTGTATCTCTTGCATCATGCAGCTAACCTTGTGCATCTCCACGGCTGCAAAGATCTCCATCATGTAAAAAAGAAATGAGAAGCAAATAACAAAGGAGCTTCACTAAATTGTCGAGTTGGTATGAGGAGATGATGGATATTGGCGCTGATAAAGCTTTAGATTCTGGTGTTGTGGATGGCGTTCGACCTAGGACGCCTAGTAAACAACTGGATCAAGAAGGCGTTCTCCTCGAAAGGCTTCGCCGACTCAAGAATGAGAGATCAGGCTATCTTTCTACAGTTAGCGCTAGGAGAAACGAAATTGATGCCTTGTTATCTAGCGAGGAAAACGTTCATCCCGTAAAGGAAAAGTTGCGCGGCTTCCTAACTGCTGTTGAAAGGTTGAAAGAAGCTCATCTAGCCTATTCGTCGAATCTTCAGGATGACGTTAGCGTAGCCAGATGTCAAGAGCAGTTAAATTCAGAGTCTTCGCGGGCCGACCTCTTTTATCAAATAACTCAACAGTCGATAAAAGGATCAGAGCAGCTTCTCAGGTTGAAATCTCAGGTCAATCCTGAAGATTCAGCGCGTCAGATCGGTTCTCGGGCCACAACTAAGTCTTCGTCAAAGAAATCCCGACGTTCGAGTCATAGCGTTTCAAACAGGAGTGGTCCGTCATCCTTAGCGTTCGCACGAGCAAAGGAAGCGGCGCGTATTGCTGAGCTCGAAGCGGAGGCGGCTGCACTAGAGAAACGACGATTGTTAGAGGAGCAAAGGTTACGTTTGCAGCAAGAACAGGAACGTCTTACACTTGAAACCGGACTCGCTAAGTCTAAAGCTAAAGAAAGAGTTTTGTCTTCAGTTATGGAAGCTGTTCCGCGTCCATTTGTGCCGAATCTGATAAACCTAGAATCCAAGAAGGGTGAGGGAGAGGTTCAAGCACCTATTATCGGATTTGAAGCAAAGCCAGTTGGATAAAATGGTCATTTATCAGTCGCCGTTGGTTGTTCTACCCTAAATCCCGAAGCAGCAGAATGGCATCAGCCTTCGCTAGGAATTAACAGGAATGAACGTGCTAACGAGTCTGAATACTCTGGTGCGTCGACATCACCAATTGAGAGGGCCTTTCACGAAATGCCAGGGCTACATCACCCTCAAAACGCGCTGCAACAACAGCAGAACAACATCGTGGAAATGCTTGCGACTCAGCAGAAGAAAAGCAGTCTTCTCCAGCAAAGGGTTCCTATCTTCGATGGTGATCCAATAGACTATGGCGCCTTTGTGAGAGCCTTTGAAAACCTCATTGAGTCTAGAACCTCGAGTGGTACTGAGAGGTTGTATTACCTTGAACAGTTTACTAGTGCTGATGTTAAAAAACTAGTTCGTTCGTGCCATCACATTCCACCTGAAAGGGGTTATCGGGAAGCTCGATGGCTGATAGAATAGAAATTTGGTGACGATTATCGCATTGTGACTGCCTATGAAACCAAAGCGTTAAACTGGCCCGAAGGGAGAGCTGAGGACAGTGCTTCTCTGGACAGGTTCTCCATCTTTCTCATGAGATGCAAAAACGCTATGAAATGTAGCAAATACCGGACCAAGCTCGAGCAGCCTGACACCATACAAAAGCTCGTCATGAAGTTGCCATTCAATTTACGAACAACGTGGCGCCGTTTAGCCGACAACGTAATAGAAACTGAGAGAAGATCTGTTACGTTCAGCGACCTTGCCGAATTCGTAGACAATGAAGCAACGGTAATCGCCAATCCCGTTTTCAGAAAGATTACTGAAGACACAAATCCCAAGAATGAACTGATGAATAAGCAGAATGGATCCGGTAGAGGTAAAACAAGTCTTTCTACGCAAATAGGCGATCTCAAGAGCCCACCTCCTCGTGCGCCACCCTCTGGATCAACTCCTTCCATTAAGGACGTCTTATATTCCGTCTGCAATTCTTGGCACGCCCTAGACGCCTGCGAGGCTCTTAGACGCCTCCCGTATCCAGAACGAATTCGATTCTTGAAATTAAGGCGCCTCTGTTTTGGTTTTTTTGTCCTCCAATCATATATTGAAGGAATGCCCGGAAAAGAAAACATGTACGGTTGCCAACTGCACGAAGAAACTTCCAACAATTCTTCATACGAACACTGCGGCAAGGATTCGACCATCTGGCATTCCTTCCGCTAGTACCTCGCTGCAGGAGGAGTCCCCCCGAGTTCGTGACGGAATGGTTAATCTAGACCGCTCGAGAATAGGCATGGCTGCGGTTCCAGTCAAAGTTTGGTTTAAATCCACAGGTCCTCCTGTGATTACCTACGCATTTTTGGACAGCGGTAGCTCCTCCTCATTTTGCACAGAGTCCTTGATGAGACAGCTGGGGGTCAATGGTACCCGAACTCAGATTTCCCTAACAACTTTGGAAAAGAAAGACAGTCTTATTGACAGCTTCGTTGTGAAAGGTCGTGTCATCTCGGATCTGGAGGAAAATGTGTTTATCGAGCTGCCAGCACTTTATACGAGACCAGAAATACCCGTTTCAAAGGAGGACATACCCACTCGGGGTGACATTGACCAGTGGCCACACTTGTGCCTCCTCGTAGCCTGTGATGTTCCTACGGTCTTTGATCCTTTGGAAGTGAAGCACAGTCAAATCGGCGGTCCCTATGCTTCCCGAACATGTATGGGATGAGTGGTTAACGGTCCTTTAAGGAGTTTTCGCAAGGGCGTTTTCGCGCTGCCAGTTTCCTTATCAAGGCTGACCCTGAATTTCATCAGGTGGTGAAGAATTTTTACGACAGTGGTTTCAGTGAATCCAGCGCTGATGACAAACCTGAAATGTCACAAGAAGAGCTTGGTTTCCTCAGCGAGTTGGAGCGTACCATAGTCTTGAGAGATGGTCACTATGAAATGGCGCTACCTTTGAAAGATCGCGAAGCACCAGCCCCGAACAATAAACCGCAGGTCGAACAACGCGCTCACTGGCTAAGGAGGAAACTTCAGCGTAACAAGGACTTGTACAACGACTACTAGTGTTTCATGGTAGACATTATTGACAAGGGTTACGCCCGAAAGGTCCCGGCGGATCTCAAGGACCCCAGTGGCATGAAATGGTACATTCTGCATCATGGTGTTTACCACCAGCACAAGCCCGGAAAAATACGCGTTGTCTTCGACTGCTCGGCTAAATATCAAGGCACGTCTCTTAACGACCTGCTGCTCAAGGGTCCAGATTTGACCAACAATCTATTTGGAGTCCTAACGAGATTTCGACAGGAGAGGATCGCGCTCATGGCGGACATCGAATCGATGTTTTACCAAGTCAGGGTATCTGAGGCGGACTGTTTCTATCTTCGCTTCCTCTGGTGGCCCGATGGCAACTTGGAGAGTAGCCTCGAGGTGTACCAAATGGTTGTACACCTGTTCGATGCAGCCTCGTCTCCATCATGTTCGAACTTTGCCTTGCGCAAGACAGCTGAAGACAACCGCCAATATTTCCCAGAGGCAGTTCTGAACACGGTCAAAAACAATTTTTACGTAGATGATTGTCTCAAGGCCCTACCTTCAGTCGAAGAGGCTTCACACCACGCGAGGGACCTATGGTTACTACTCTCAAATGGGGGGTTTAGGCTGACAAAGTGGATCAGCAATAGTCGCAGGGTTCTCGAAACCATCCCCGAAGCCGAGCGCGCCAAATAAGTGAAAAGTCTTGACCTTAGTAAGGATGACCTCTCAGTCGACAGAGCTCTCTGTGTTAAATGGTGCGTGGAGACAGACGCCTTTGGCTTCAAAGTGGATATTAAGCTCAAACAGCCCACAGGGCGAGGAATTCTTTCGATTGTCGGTTCTGTTTACGACCCCCTCGACTTGCCGCGCCCTTCATGTTGCCGGCCAAACGGTTGCTTCAGGACCTATGTCGAGTCAAGCTATATTAGGATAATCCTATTCCTCAAGAGCACAAGGCACGCTGGGAGCGATGGATGGCCGATCTTCCTAAACTATCGCAGTTTTCCGTCGATCGCTGTGTTAAGCCAGCCAGTTTCGACTACATCTCTTCAAGCCAGCTGCACTATTTTTCTGATGCCTCAGAGAGCGGTTTCGGATCGGTGTCCTACCTGCGTCTTGTTAATGGCGAGGGTGCTGTTCACTGTTCTTTTCTGTGTGCCAAGTCACGTGTGGCGCCCCTAAAGACGATTATGATCGAGCGCTTTGAGTTGTCTACCGCAGCAATCTCCGTCAAACAGGACAAGGTCTTGAAGAGAGAATTAAAGATACCGATTAGTTCCCAGTCCTTCTTCTGGACAGATAGCACTGCAGTATTACGTTACGTGAAGAACGAAACAAGGCGACTCCACGCTTTTGTAGCCCATCGTGTCACGCTTATTCGTGATGGCTCTGAACCCCATCAGTGGAACCATGAGAATGGCGACATGAATCCCGCCGACGACGTCTCTCGAGGATTGACAGCTGACGTCTTCCTTGCTCAGCGGCGTTGGTTAATGGGGCCCGAATACCTCTGGAGGCCCGAACACATGTGGCCAATGCAGACCGAAGCATTTAACAACGTCCTCGATGGAGATCCTGAAGTAAAGACGGATGTTAAGGTGTGCATGTCCTCACTAGCCAAGCAAAGCTGTCCACTGTTGAGTTATTTCCAGAAATGTTCTTCCTGGTTCCGCCTAAAGAAAGTTGTTGCCTGGCTCCTGCGCTACCGGGAAAGACTTCTGAATGAGAGTAAAAACAAAGGTTTAGACCGTGATATTCCGAATTACATCACCCTTGAAGAGATCGAGAGGGCAGAGGAAGAAATTCTGAGGCATGTACAGAGAAGAGCCTTCCCCGAGGAGTTCAACCATCCCCCAAAACCAGTTAGGAAGAGTAGTCGCCTCTACAAGCTTGACTCAATCGTTATGGATGGGCTTTTGCGCGTTGGTGGCCGGCTGCGTAAAGCAACATTACCCGCAGAATCAAAGCACCAGATTATTCTTCCGAAAGAAGATCAAGTTACCAGAGTTATTATCGACGATTACCACAGGGCATGCGGCCATTCCGGTAGAGAGCGCGTTCTAGCTTCCATTAGGTAGAAATTCTGGATCACCCAGGGAAGTTCAGCCGTGAAAAGTGATCTGGGGAAGTTTGTCAGTTGCCGTCGCCGCCAGGCACCACTTTGCCAACAGAAGATGGCCAATTTTACCAGAAAATCGCGTGCTGGCTGAGAAACCACCTTTTGCATCAGTGGGCGTAGATTATTTTGGTCCATTCCAAGTCCGTCGAGGGCGGAGTCTCGTAAAGAGGTATGGCGTGATCTTCACATGTCTAGCAATCCGTGCCGTGCACCTCGAAATTTCACATGGCCTAGGTACGGACTCGTTCGTATTGGCTTTGCGACGTTTCATTGCAAGAAGAGGCCAAGTGAAGCAGATCTACTCGGATAAGGGGTCAAACTTAATTGGTGGTGAGAAGGAGCTGCTTGACGCTATTTCAGATCGGAATCAGGAAAAGATACACAATTCCCTGTTACAAAAGGACATCAAATGGTACTTCAACCCTCTCTATGGTTCCCACTTTGGAGATATTTGGGAGAGATGCATCCGAACCGTTCGGAAGATTCTACAAGCGCTGCTACGAGAGCAAACTACGGACGACGAGAGCCTGGCCACTTTAATGTGCGAAGTGGAGAGTATCATGAACAGCCGACCCATTACCACCGTATCCAGCGATCCGAACGACAATGAGCCCTTGACGCCTAACCACTTGTTGTTGCTCAAATTGGAAGTCTCCTTACCCCCCGGTCTATTCAAGAGAGAAGATTCCCTGTCGCGTCGTCGATGGAAGCAAGTACAATATTTAGCGGACATCTTCTGGAAGAGATGGAGTAGGGAATACCTTCCCCTTTTGCAACTTAAACAAAAGTGGGTGCACCCAAAGAGGAACTTGGCCGTTGGTGATATCGTTCTGGTCGCATCTGAGTCGCATCGCAATTCCTGGCCGCTTGGCGGAGTTCTTGAAACCTTCCCCGACAAAAGAGGGTTTGTTCGCCGACAGCTGTCTACGAAAGACCCGTCGACAAGCTCTGTCTTTTGGTTGAAAACGAATGTCCTGAGAACACTAAAAACCGAGAAACATTTAGTTAATTTGTACTTAGCCTTCAATTAGCCTTGTTTGCTAAGTAGACTTCTTGGGGTGCACTAATACTTAAGATCAAGCAGATGTTTATTGTAATTCATTACATGTAAGTGACTCGCTTAGTACAATCTCGCACTTAGGGGCCGGGATGTAGAATTTAGCATTCTTTGCATTTTATTTCAGTTTTTTAGCATTCCCTAGGGAATACGTTTTGTTTTTCTTTTCCGCGTTTGGTATAATTTACATGTTGTTAATATACTAGCTTTTTAGTTTCATCATTGATTTCACCGAGAGAACATCTGGTTTAGAGTTGCCTTTTTTCGCGGCCGACAGCGCCGATGCAATGTAATTTCCTAGTTATTATGTTCATCGCGTTCGCCTTAGCCGCCTTTCAGTTTTATATTTCTGCATTTTGTAAACTTGTATTTTTGTTGGTTCTTCATTAGTTCAAACCTCTCCCTCCGATCGAGTGTTTGAAATCATTGCTGTAAGCGGCCACGTAAAGACACGCCTTTTGGCAGTAACACTATCGGCTCCTCAATTTTAAACATCGAAGAACCCATGCCAACGAAACTAAAGGCAATTTTAGACGAAATCACATGGCGTTTTCTAAGTTAAACAGGATCGAAAACATCTGGTGAATTTACGCAACCCTTTGATCAGGAAAGCTCGAAATTTTCCAAAAATGCTGACGTCATGCACGTGTTCACGTTTTCAACATCTTTTATTCCAGCGAACAATTATTGTTATACTTGCTTTCGATTTTGAGGCAAATGTCAAAAGAGAGATAAAAGAAAAAAAAAAGAGGTAGACCAGGTTTCCTTGGTTTCTTATGGTTTTTTTACTGGAGATGGGTTTTATTGAAGAACTGGTAGAAAACGTGAAAATAAACGGGATTGGTCATATCAAGAAGCTCTTGTTTCGAACAGCTGAAACTGCAAGTGAACTTTTGCCCCTCCATTTTCTAGCAGCGTTTGGATGAATTGAGAATTGACTTAACAAAAACTAAAAATTTAGGAACAACAATTACTTTTTCTTTGAGACGAAAAATCAACATATGTATATGTTATAGGCGTTCTGTTACTTCAATTTTGTTCTCGTATGTTAAGCTTTTTTCCAAAAGTCATAATGTCCTCCAAACGAGATTAAGTTTCAATGTTTGAAATATATTAAAAAATTTATTTTCATAAGTTGCTGTTGGCCGAAAATGTTGCCTTTAATTCATTAAATTTCATATTTCCCGTCGTGTTTATTTGAGTTCGACGACCGGCTTTATAAGAAGAATTTTCCGTACCAATTTGTGTTGTCGAAGTCGTCCGTTTGTTTATAATTTAGTTGATATTTAGGGCACGTAGGACCAAAGACATCCTTGACAACACTTTATTCAAATTCTGTATAAACCCGTCGATGTTTAATTTGAAGTTCGCTTAGGCACGGTATGATTGGCTAGTGCAAATGACATCCTGTCGGGTGGTAATTAATTATTCATGCTCGCAATTTACATTTTCACAGAATTTCCTCGAATCGAGAGCGAAAATACAAACCGATATTTAAAGTGAATGTAGCCTTTAATTCTCCAGGTATTTCTCAAATTCTACGGTTCGCGAAAAACAAAAACAAAAAAACAGAAAAAAAAAACCAAAAGAGTCGAGCCTCTACGCCGACAAGTTAATCATGAGATGCGAGATTTTCTTCGCCAGGATGAAATTCGTTTTGGTGAGTTGTATGGTTTCGACATTATACTCTAGCGCTGTATGCAGTTAACTTAAGTTGGCGAATCACCTTTGCCTTTAGCTAACCAATTCCTTCTTGATCTTTTTTTCAGCTTTTGAAGCTACTATTGGCGTTGTCGCTGAGCACAGAAGCGGAAAAGTACAAGCAAACCTCAATAAGTAAGGCTCTTTCATCAGTTCTTTGAATCATTTTAATGTCGCTATTGGAGTTAGAGTCATATTCTGTGGTAACGAAACGTCAAGACGTATTAGTGAATCTATTATAATTTAGTAGTGTTGCGTTTTAAAGATTTTTTTTTTTTTAAGTCAGAGCGAAAATGATCATTTTGCAAAGCGATATGGCTTGTTTCGCAGTTTATACGTTAGTTATTTTTTATTTGGAAGGGGATGAATATGTTTCGAAACGTTACGCAGAAGCCATTATTGGCCTGCCTAAACAAGTCAAATTATTCACAATGCTATAAGCACTACTCAAAACAGCTTAAAGGCCCTCGATAATTCCTTTTAATTATCGTCGCCATAACTGAGGCTATATTTCGTGAGCAAGGAATGAATAATAATTCCGGATATTTTTTGCCTTCTTTAAGAAGAATGACGTCCTCTTTGCTACTAAAATTGCACTCGTAAAAGTTTGACAGACATTCAAAAAAGATTTCAAAATTTTGCAGTGGTTTTACTAATCTGTGAAAAGGAAAAAAATGTCCTATTGGAATGTATGAAAAAAATAAACGGAATTGGGCAGATTGTGCGACTTGTTATGAAACAAAACTTTGCAACATTCAATATTTATTTAGCCTGGAAAGAGAGAAGATGAAATTCTGTAATGGATGAATTATAGATTTGTTCCCCAAACAAAATCAACTACTGTGATCACTTCGATCTACATTATCTGAGTGGAAATTTGTCATATGTTACCTAAAACTAGGAGGTAAAAACGAAGGATGAGTTATCTTGAGGAAATACAAACATCTATATGAAATAGATGAATTATTTTCTCGTCTTGTAACAAGAACTCATTGAAGAGTCCGTTATGGATGACATCTGTTTGTTTCCAGTGCTCAGCGATTGGTTCAAATGTTGCAGCAGGTGTTGAAAGCTGAGTATAATATGCGAACAAAAATAGCCAGAGTAATTTATTTTAGAAGTTGTAATTAGAACTTTTTTGCTGTTCGATCTTTATCGGTAAAGTCCTGATGGAAGATATAGCGGGAATGACGTTGAAATTGGACCACAATATATCTTATGGTCTCGACACTGGTAGAAAATAGTTAGAATTCTTTTCGTCTGACATTCTCTCGAACCGTTGCATGTAATAATCCTTATAACTCTTGATCGATAAGTAAGGGTGGCGATGTGCTGGAAAAGTCTAAACCATAACGAAATGAAAAGCGAACAAACAAAATTCATCGATAACTTTCGCAAAAGTCTTCATCTCGATCTTTTCTGCATTATTTTAGGGGAATTTGGACGAAAAACTAACGTATATCAAGACGTTTATTATAAAATTTTGCTCAAGGATTGCAAAGTTATGATCTTCGCAACAAAACTTAACTTGCATGATAAGGCATTAAAATCGCGAAATCGTAACGACATTCACAGTTGGCTGTTTTGTGTTTCTTTGAGATCATAGGCCGGGAGCTCAGCGTTTAATCTAAATAGCATGCAGGGAACTTAGAACTAACGATGGCAAAGCTTTAGAAAATCTCGATCACAAAAAATTTTAAGCGACATTTCTCCTAAGAATTTCATAAAATGGCTGCTAAGGATGTGAAAGCTCTTTGTATTAAATAAGGTACCGGGATAAAGCTGCAAGTTTAAAAGTGGATCATTCACTTTTGGCTTTCCCTCTCTCAAATAGTGCCCAAAATGTGCTGATTTCACATTTTTTTTTCGTAGATGACGTTTTAAAAGGCCAGAAAACTGTACCAAATTTGAAACACACACGTAGAGCTAAAGCTTTACCCCTTAATATTATTATAAATTCAAACACGCCCTAGTTTTCGTTACTGTCGTCCGTGATTTTCTGTAAGTCTCTAGCGTCAGGTTCTGTCTCTTTCGTGTCCGTTATTTTAAACTACATTGTGCTGCCCTCAAACCACTATGAAAGAGAATTTGATAACTGATACCTAAAAGATGCTGGCATTTTATTTTCCAGCCCAATGTGAAAAGGGCGTTATCAAATTTGATGGGGAAAAAGGGAACTTCACTAACCCCGGAGGATACGGGGGTTATCCCAACGAATCGGAATGCAGGTAAATTAATCTGATGCACTTTTATCTTTTAAAATCTATCTAGTCATATCTATGAATATGATATTTAATCAAGTATTTTATTCATTCTTGTTTCTCCACCTCTTTCTTCACTATGCCTAAGTTCCTCCATTGCTAATCATGTGAGTTGTACCATCAAAGAAAAAATTGTTGCCTGCAACTTGCTCTTTTTTAAAAATTGATCCTAACTTTTAGAAAAAATGAAAAAGTGAAAAAAAAAGCAAATATTTACTTTTGCGTTAGCATGGGCGTCCATATTTTATGCTATAACTGTGAATATCAGTACAGTACAAGTAGTTTTACGTGGGTGTACTATTTGTAAAATGCTTCATCATCCATTGTTTAATTTCTATCATTTTCACCCTCTTGATCGTCATTATCGTTTGTTCACGATACCAGAACAGTTGAATAAGCAGGAATAAGTCGTCAAATAAAAGAATTTATTTCGAGCTCAAAACATAACAAAACCAAGATGGCCGCTACAGGAAGAGAAGGGCACCGAGACTTGCGGTCCTCGGCGGCAAAACCACAAAAGGGCAGGAAAACGAATGATATCTGAACAAATCCTTTTTTTGACATCGTTATCTGTATATTATCGTTTTTAACGTCATTATTATCACAATCATTATTATTATTATCATTATTATTATTATTATTATTATTACTATTATTTCTACAACTATTTTCATTTCTGGATAGAAATTCGTCGTTGTTTCAAGTCATTGCGCTTTTTGTTTCAGTTGGATCATAGAAGCAGATTACATCGCGACAGTTACGGTCACGTTCCATGACTTTGACTTGGAGTTGAGTAAAAGATGTAAACCCTATGATTTTGTCAGCGTATCAGACAAATGCAATAAGTCACAAAATTGGAAAATGATCGAAGACGTCGAAGGATACTGCGGAAACACGACTACGTTTAATATCACATCACGATGTGAAAGAATGAAAATAGATTTCAAGTCTGATGATTCTATAACAGGGAGAGGATTCAATGCCACCTATGTGATTCAACCAAAACCAAGTAAGTCTAAACAACAATTCCCCAAACCAATTCTAGGAGGTTCTAATACACAAAACAACAATATTCCTTCTTCTTTGGCCCTCTGGCCTCTGCGTTTCCTTCATATTTTTCCCTATTTTCTTCTCATTTTCCTTGCCAACCTTGCCTTTCTCCCTCTTCCCTTCTTTGTCTTTCATTTCTCCCTTCACTTCTCATACGACCAAGGAAACTCCTCAGAGAGTAGTTTCAGTGTTCTTTCGAGCACTCAATGACATTTTACATGCTAAGTTGGCTCTGGGATTCTACAAGATTCCAATTGCAGTGATATCATTGGTCCTTTTGTTATTTTAAATCATAGAGGCACCGGAAATGTTACCGTTCTGCCCTGAGGGAGAGAGAAAATGCTCAACAAAGAAAGAGAAAGAAGAGTTTGATACCGTGTTTTTGACTTGTCGAGCTTCTGCGTCTCCTCAGCCGGTCTTTAACTGGACGTACCTCGGTCTAAACGAATCGAATCCCGAGCAAACTCTAGACAAAGCCGGGAGGCGTATTGAGGACTTTCGTAACGGAACTCTAAAGATCAGCAACTTGAATAGAAATGACACTGGTTACTATAAATGCCACGCTGATAACAATGTTAAACCACCAAACAGTGCGGTAATGTATCTTCGCGTGAAAGGTGAGACATAAAACATCGATTCTTCCCAAAAAAGATCATCGATTTTCTTTGAGTTCGAAAATTGACAGCTCTTGCTACTTGCCAAATTAATAGTGCTCAACTCTTTAACTACTATCAGTGACCAGGACATGATTTCTCCTTAGAATATCAGGACACTGATATCAAGCACAAAAGTGACGAGATCCTAACCCTAAACCCCACTAACTTCATAAGAATTCTATGGCAGACAGTAAGAAGAACTGTAAATAGAACTTGGGAGTAGAAGGGCTTACCACATAATTTTTTATTCATTTCTATTACTAATTTACTTTAGCTCAATTAAACTGCATCCACAGCACTGAAAAAAATAATAATAATAACAAAGAATTAAAGTGTAACAGAAAATCTCTTTCCCAAATTCTACTTTGTTGGACCCGCCAATCATCGAAAGTACGTTATCGAAACATTGCGCGGGTCTTTTCAGCTGTGATTCTATAGAGTGATAGCGGGGCTCCCACACGCGCTTCGCGAGCGTGGGGCAGAGTCCCATACCCGTGGAATATGGTCAACCTCTTTTCGTTTGGTTGTCACGTGACTGAACGACGTACGTACGTACGTGCCCTCTGTCATGTATGCTATCACGAAAGTACTAAAAGCATCATGGATGCAATAAACCACGAGGTTTGGAATTTAATATGGCTGTTGTGTGATACAGTACACAACACCTTCAGATTAATTATTACAAACCAAAAATTTCGCCGTTAATTTACTGTAGAATGTTCTGCTCGGAAAAGAATGGATATCAAAGTTGACAGGTGAAAGAACAACCAAAGGTGACAGAACAACCTCTCGAGTGAACGACACTACGATTCTCTAAAGCGATGCGAATTATGGACGTAAAGTGAAAACCGAACTTTCGGACTTCAAGCAGGGCCTAGCGACAATTTGACGATTCGATGGCCCGGTAAATATTATGTTCGAGTAACAATGTGTTCAAAAAGTATTGTTTAATAGAAGATTTCGCGTCAAATCGAAGTTTTTTCAGAATTTTCAACATAACGCTGCGCAATTTCTGGCCTTGAAGGCAAGTAAACAACGATCTAAGCATGATGAATTTTACCGCGTGGGCTTTGTACACGTAAGAAATTCGCACGTTTTTCGCTTATAACGGCAAATCAAAAACTGTTTTGAATAAATCTATCGCCCCGAAATATATCTTGGCCATTTAAGTCTTGCTTCCAATTGACAGATTCCATGGAACTTGAGATCTCTTCACTCACGGACAAATTCGAATATTCCATTTCGAAATATGATCCACATGCCCATTTGCACACATGCGAAAACATTTAGCGATTTTTATCTTTCATCTTGATTTTTGAGTTCAAACGTAATATGCACCTATCGCTTTTTTTCGTCGGAAATAAGTTCTTTAATTAGTCTTCTTTCACTGGCGCTTGTCTTTTGGAAAAGATGATTTTTAAAAATTTGCTGCGCATTGTGTTTGCTTTCTTGGTTTCTCCAAAATCTTGACTTTTCATAGGCACGTGTTACACGTAAGTGTTAATTGGTTTAATCTATACTGAATAAATTTTTGGCTAAAAAATTTTAATATATGTAAAGAAATTTTATTGCAAAATTTTCACTTATTGGGAGCTCCGCTTTTAGGTTTGGCTAAATCTATATATTAAACCTAACCATGGATTGGACGCAGTTTTCCAATTAGTTTTTCCTTCCGAAGACGTTGACCACTCTGTTAAGGAAAACCTTTGGCCCCGAAATTTTCCATAACTAAGGTTTCTACTCAACTAAGTGAAACTTTAGCAGGCTGTTCCTCCCCAAATATTAACGTAACCTCCACAGTTACTATGGAAACTCTATAATACTCATGTCTACTCTAACTTTGCTGTAAAGTAGAATTATTACCTAGACTATTAGTATTAATGAAAGCTTTCTTATGCTTAATCGCCTAAGAATCCAATTGGCTTGTTTTTCATCCTCTACCTTTCCTCTAACTTTGTCATCTTATCTGTTTGTTTGTTTGTTTATCTCACAGAAAAATGCAAATGCCCCAA